AGTAAGAACACATGAGGTCCAGGAAACAACAGGTCAAATAAGTTTAAAATCTTCTGATTAACTTCATCAGAGGACAGAGTTGTGTCAAACATGCCGGGAGTGTCGATCACATGAACAATCCTGCCATCAATCTCTCCTGTTTCTTTTGGCCAATTCTTGGTCACAGACTTCCTGGCTGGTGTGATTGAAAAACATTCTCCTGCCTAAAATGGTTGTTTCCAGTTGCACTCTTTTCCAACAGCTGGTCTTTCCCCCCACCAAGCACCTATCCTGAGAGGCCTAAATTATAACTGAATGGTTTGCTCCATCCTCTGCCTCTGATGTCTTCTAACACCTCCCTCCCTGATGTTTTAACCACACAACTGTTTGAGTCCGAGTACTGAATGAAAACTCTGTCTGACCTAAAATGGCCTCAGCTGAAGTCTTCCTGCTGATCACACAGATTGACACAGACTGGAAGGTTTTATTATTTTCATGCACAATGTTCTTAATCTTCTTCATTAACAGGTTATATCAAACATGTTAGTTTGATTTCTGGCAGCCATACAATGCTTGATGGGGGAATGTCTTTGGAATTGAGATTCTTGACCTTCCAACATCCAGTTGCTGTGTGTTGTCTATGTGTCCTCGCTCTTCCCCAACAGCACAATAATACAGATTCTGTAATTCAGCCAGAGAGAGTTCACATACTTCAATGTAGATTTTGATTCCAGTCCCAAATACTTAAAATATAACGCACAATCTAAAGAAACAATCCAGGTCGGATCCCTTTCTGCCTGTTCAAATTGCATTCCTTTCTCAAAACGAGCCCTTAAATGTCAAGTATGGATTTTTTTCCAGCTTTACCCCCACAGGCAAAGACATGCAAAAGGTTAGAAATATTTGGTGACTCTAATAACAGACGCCTCCCTAAAGGATGAGTGGTTCTAGATAATGGATGGATGTTTCATGTACCACAATTTGAGGTTCCAATTACCACAACCTAATTAGACACATTATCATTGTTGGACAGTTTTTAACATAACACAACACAAATTATAATAGATTTGATGTTGTATGAATCATTTACTTACCTTGTGTGATTGTGCTTTCACTGGTGATGACACTGTGTGATGTGTTTGGTTTGAACCCTGTGACAGAAAAAACTGTCAATGACAGTAAATCCATTCAAAATACAGTAGCAAAGAAGGGAATAAAATCAAGTCAGAGCTGCAGTTAAGAAGGGATCATTTTTCCTCTGCTGTCACTGGTTGAATTACAACCTGCTGTGAAACAGAGTGGAAGGATTGCAACACATGCATGACTTAAAACATTGAAACCAAACTGACGCCAGTCTACACATCACAGAACAGGGAAGAGTTTATCAAAGTTGAGAACAAATAAAAAGCACAGAAGGAAATAAGATTATCCAAATGTGAAATCTGTTGGATTCAGGAAGCGCAGAAATTCTGCTCTATAAAACTGACACGTAAACTAAATGTTAAAGGGATTCTAACCATCTTGTATGGTACAGTGTTACTCTGTGTGGTTGAAAATGTCTTTGCTGATGTATTTAATTAGTTCCTGTTCATTCAGTGTGACTGAGCAACACATTGTCATTATAAAAATATAGCTACTAAAACCAAATGCATCAAATACACAGACATATATTAGGAACTCCAGATACATGCAGTGAAGACACTATTCTGACAGTGTACAAAATAAAGTGTAAGAAAATAAGACTGAACAGTTAACTGAGTCAACAAAATATAAAATGATCAAGATGATTTTAGAGACTTCTTTTTACTTCTGTGATGTGTGTGTGTTCACAAACATCCACTGCTAAACCTTCCTAAAAAGGTTAACTACTGTCTGTGTAATGTATTCAACTGGGACAAAGTCAGTTTCTGTGACGGAACATGATTGGTTAATGTCACTTTAAATATTGTTCATCTGACTCTGTTCAGTTCTGCTACTTGTTTGATTCTAATTACATTTCTAAATATTATAAAATTACAGTTGATGCAGATTTTTATTTATCTGACATGAAACAATAATATAACATTTTGTTATAGAGATCTGGGTCTGAACTGAATGAGTCGGGGTCCTCTGAGTTGAGACGACTTCACGAG